ACAAAGCGGAACTTAGTATATAATATTTTAAGAGAGTATTCTAGAGTGACCGGTCAAAAAAATCGATTTTTTTGCATATTCTTATAGTTTAGGGTCTTGAAAATGTGTCTCTAAAATATTAAGATGAAATTCGTCAAATTGACCGAGATAGAGGTTTAAAGACGTAGCCCCCGCACGCGTCCATGCGGTAGACAGATTTTTTGCATCAGGTAGTATTTCTTTACGTAGCCAAATGGTACTACATATAGCTGAGAAAGGTATCCTGTACGGCCCTGATATAGCTGACTAAGGGTAAGTTACTGAAATTACTCATTATTCACCTTGTAAACGCATGAGAAACTTTAAACGCGTTTTTCTCAAATTGACATTTTTCAAATCGGGCGCGTATTTTTCTCACAAACTACTGGGCCGATCGACTTGCGCTTTTGCATACATATAGTGTACATATTAGGCTATCGTTTGACCCTCCAACTTTTTGATCTCTTGAAAATTACTATTTTTCCGGACCGTGAAAATTAAATATTTTTAATAAAAAATCGAACTATTTTTTTTCAAGCATCGCCATTTTGTCAATTGTTCTTCAAATGATTTACTAGTGGGTCGAACGATAACCACATTTGTAAGGAATAAAATAAAAAAAAAATCGTTTATTTGAGATGACGAGGACGGCCGCAATCACTACGCCCGATAGAAGAGGAATTTCAAAACATGACCTGCGCGTCCATTTGTGCGCCGTGTGTAATTCTCAATAAAAAGCATTAAAAAAATTTGAGATGTTACTTCGAAATATGTATAAATGTAAAAACAAAACGTTACATCTATAGGTTTAACCGTTTTTATAAAATTAATTCTCAAAAATCACGTTAAAAACGGACGTTCACACTAGAATACCCCCTCAAGGATGTTCTGGCTATACAACAGACAAAAGTGACTAAAATTTGAAATTGATATGAAATTCTATGCTTTTATAAGTTAAGATATATGCACCATGTGCTCGTATCGTGTAAAGGACTTAAATAATGTCAATTAATATGACATTGACACTACAAATGACTATATTTGTACGAGTATATTTTACAAGTTTTGTGATTGTCGGAAAAAACTTTTGGACGTGAATTTTACCTGAAATCAATTGCAAGAAACGAAAAACCGTATTTTAATAACGTTTAATGTATATCAGACATCAAAAGATACTTAAAAGTCCACAAAATATGTAAACAAATGTCATTAACATAATATTTGCCTTTCTAGCACTTTATACTTGTCAAAATAGAGTGCCTAGTTGATACCGCACTCCATTTTAAGTTGGTACTCCTTGCGGTCTCGTAGTTGAATACGAGGTTGGAATAACAGTGACAAGCGTTGCTTTATCAATTAATATCTTAATAACGGGTTAGTGAATCTATATAAACTTTTTTTTAGAAACATTGTTCAATATTTTTTTTACTCACAAACAAAGTTTCAGAATATTGGCAATGCTGCTTCTTTATCATTTTGTTGATAAGTAGAAATATGCTGCTATTCCATGAGAACTCGTGCAAAATTAAAAGTTGAATAACTCGTCAACTAGTTAGAGAATCGACTTCAGGTTTTGCACATGTGTTAAGGTAATAAATAGAAACAATTTATTAAATTTTCAAGGTATATTGTCATTGCTAGAACGTTAGCGCCAGTGCATCCTTAATATGCGAATCTTACAATTCTCAGTTCAGGCGAGAATTGTAAAATTTACATATTAAAATATTATTAAGCATCCAAGATCTATTTTGTACATACCGCTTTGGCGTACAAACGCCGTTGGCGTTTTCGCATCTTAATTGTTTTTAATAAGTTCTTTAAAATAAATAAAAATACTAATACTTTGAATTTTGTTAATAAATTTATAACCCAATATGTGTGTGTGTGTGTGTGTAAATCTTTCGACATATGCGCTCTTATCGTCATTATCTTTTGGTTTTTTCTGTTAATACTCCATTTAATCTTTACGTCTGTCGTATCAGCAGGTGTGAACTTGGCCTCGCAGGTGTGTTTTCGCTACACCTTTTTTTTCCAACCGCGTGTAATCCCCCTTTCTCGCATTGCGTGACGATTGCGCCCGCGAGACAAACGCGCGGGCGACCTGCCGCGATCTCCAGGAACGGGCGATCCTTCCACATCCACGGCTGCGGCAACTTTCCATCCTTTCCTTTCTGAATCCTCGCGATTTAATAGGCCTCCCATTATACGGCCTCGATTTACGATACAACAATGGCGCGGCGCGATAATGAAAATGCATTTATAATTTCCCCCCGCGGGAAAACCCGCGCGCGCGATAAACCGGATGACAAATGGCGTTTCTCCAAGTGTACCCGTCCGCCGTTTCTCAACTGCGTATTAATTCAAGCTGCGGGCTTCCGGTAAGAATATCGGCGTGAACGAGCCATAATAAATTACCTTCCCCGTCCCGCAGAATAGGTATTTAGAAAATAAGCGACGCTCACACACCGGCGCTGATAAATGTTCCGTGCATCGCTCGAAGTTGTATATCGATCTTCATTATCAGTTCGTTTGTTTTGGAAAAAAATTTAAACTGAAGGTGCGCTTAGTAATCGCACGAAATCGACGTCGGGATCGAGAAATTAACATTTTGCAACATAATAATATTCATTACAATAAATATAGAAGTATAGGCTCTAAAGTTTTCAAGCAAAGGCATGGGATTACGTATAAAAATCGCTCATACATTTTTGCATAATAATAGAACATTTCATTATTATACAGTCGAATCTCAAGGGACCAGAAAAACTGTTCGAGTTTTATAGAGTTTTCGACTTATTGAAATTCGAGTAAAAGAGGGTTAACATATGAAAATTCGACTTACAAAGGCTTTGTACGAGAATTTATAATTTTCCGATTATAATGCACTGAGAAAAAAAAGTTGTTAAGATAACTAATGCATTTTGTTGACAGTTTTTCTTTGATTCAATTATATACGTTTTTGAATTAAACATATATCAATAACATGATACATCATTAACATATTTTTGTGAATTAACAAATGTTTGCTTGACCGCCGCATTTAGTTGAATGAAATAATATTTTTTTAAATCAACAATTTTTTTTCTCAGTGTGGCTTTTAGAGGGAAAAAAATTAATATTTAACAGTGAATTATTTATTATATATATATGATAAATGTAACCATAAAACAAAATACCAGGCTGTTACTCACGGTTACACATAGCTACAACTTCAAATTATAAATGTAGCGACAATGAAAATTCGACTTACAATTAGAGAGGTGAACTTTGACTAGAGGTCTGGCTATTTTAAATTCCAGTTACAGAAGTAAAATATATATCTAAATGCCTGACAAATAATTCGAGTTAAGGTAGATTTTATTTCAATTTATAGAGGTTTTCCGTAGAGCAGCAAAAGGGGATGAACAAAATTTTCGTTTTATAGAGGTTTTCAAATTATAGAGCTTCGAGCTATCGAGCTTCGGCTGTATTATGTTAATATATAACTTCTTATATGTGTACACGGAAAAAATTGCCACCGTTGTTATAACAATATTCTCTATGTTTGGAAAAGAAATGCATGTGAATTTAAGTTAAATTGATGTTACGTAGAATACATCTGTTAAGGTATCTTCATCAGTACGATTCTCACAACCGCATAGTCCTTTGGATACATAACATTCAGTTAGAATACCCTCGTATATGATTACCTCAATCGAAAGATTATTGTTGTCTCTTTAATATGATTTGCAGAACAAATAGTGTTATTGAGAGATCTATAAGATATAGTTGCACGGTACGACACTGAGAGTTCTATTGCAGCAATAGAAGACAGCCCCACACAACATAAAATATTTTTTGTGAATCATTTTTTGAAATATTTTAATTAAATATTTCGAAATATTTCGTAAACATTTGTAAAACATTTTAAGTATTATTACATTAAAATATTTCACAAAAATATTCTATAAATATTGTACAAATGTCGTAAGAAATATTTCGAAAACTCTGATTTTCTAGACATATTTTATATTTTAAAAATATTTCATGAAATATTTTCAAATATTTCAAACCTTGCATGAAATATTTTGGAAATATTTTTGCTGTGTGGAGCAGCAGTAAAGTAACCCACTGACCCCACATAGCAGAGAGGGTTTAAAAAGAATTCAGTGTCGTATGTCAATTCTGAGTTAATTGTCAGATGAAATTCTTTTTCTACAGGTTTTGGAAAAGAATTTTTTTTGCACCTGCATGAAAATAAACTCAGAATTGATGACATACGATTAAATAAACGAATTTAATGAATTTTTTTTGGACTCTGTGCTATCTGAGGTGTGTGTTTGTACCCTTCTTATATATGTATATGTGTCCAATATGATATCGCCTCTTCGTTTTGTAATTTGTATGCTATTTTATTTTTTCTTTTTTATTTATAATTCCAATTAAGCTAATTCTTATTTATATTTTTTATTTCAATGTTTTAAATTATTTGACAATATATATATCTATTACGACCGTACCTATAAATGTTTTACACATAACAAATAAGGAAGTCTAAAAAACATTGATCTATTAATAAATCATAAAATTAATGTTATATTATTGACTAATTGCTTAAATTTTAGCAATTACTAAACATGCCACGCTAAGTCCCGTAAGGGTGTCGGTCTTTAAGAGTATCTCGTCGGTGGCTGAATTCTACACACGCTCCATGCTCACATACAGCAGGTGTGCACACCGCGGCGGTTACTCGGGAAAAAGGGAAGATTCCTAGGTCTGCGTTAGCGCGACACCGCAGCGCCTCGCGCTCGTTACCAACTAAGGGCAAATTCACACCTTGGCAGAAAAGCGGAAAACAGAAAAGCAGACGCCAATCAGAACTCACGCTAATAGCAAGAAAAAAAAATAGCAGAAACTGTCGACTATCAGCGCAAATTCTGATTGGTTTCTGCTTTTCTGTTTTCCGCTTTTCTGTCAAGGTGTGAATTCGCCCTAGCCAATACGACCATCAACCGGCACAGAAATTACTAGCTGCCCTAGTTATATTTTAACACCTTTATCGATTACACGACAATTTCTATAAAAAAAGATCTTGTGCGTCAGTTCTTGGAGAGAAAGATCAGTGCTTGGTTTGTTAAAAGCGAGGAAGAATCACGAATGAAACTGGTCAGTGTTGAGGATCGACGTTAATAAAACTTATTAAGATGTACGAAAAGGGGAAGAAGTGAGATTGTTAGTAGGCGCGGAAAGAAAAAGAAGGGATTGTGACTTGTCATTGGTCGCTAGTTAAAGCGTCGCAGGTAAATTGAGCAGTGTTAGATTTGTTGCATATATAATATTTACATTCACATACATTTACACACGCACGCTTTTTTAAAAGGCGATCAAGATATTGATATCATCCCCAGTCCAGCGGGACTGCACCAAAGCTAATATTTTAAAGACAAGGAACATCACGGTCTTTACTTTGCCCATTTGCCTATCTTCTAAGTACAAACCGATTAATCTTCGGCGAGACGTGTCGTCGCGATGTCGTTCACTGGTCCGCCCACGAAACAAGCGAGAGTGTCGTCAAACGATAATAACAATTCGTCATCCTCCGCGCGCAACACTGAACAATTATCTTCACAAGACGAGCAATTTTTAACAAAAGAAGAACGCTTGAACAACGAATATTTCGATTACTTCGATAAAACGCTTA